ATTTTATTATTTGTGTTTTTATTAATTTAATTAGTAGTTAATTATATGAAATATGTAAGAGAAATATTATTGTATATGGATATGGGGTTCGGGTAATTAGGTACCCATGAAGAACATTTTAATAATTTTTTTATATAATCAGATTTTTAAATGGGTTAGGGTAATTATAGGGTAACGGGAATGTATTAGGATTAGAGTTAGGGTTAGGGTAGTAATTTTCAAAATTATTCAGGTAATTAATAGGGTTCGGGCATTTATTTTTTATAGGATTAGGGTTCAAGTACCTCAAAATTAACGAGTACCCTCCTCATGTCCTGCGTGAATTTTTTAAAAGGCACCGCCCAATTTTGCTTTTCATTCAAATACAACAGAGAAATTCTTTAGGCAGTAAAAACTATGCACTATGAACCATGTTATCAATTAACTGCAAAGATGGTAAATGTCAGGAATATTGAAAATATACTAATAGAAAGAGAAAAATGACCTTACCTCATTAAAATATCTTATGAGAAGATTCTTGGTTATTCTCCCTATGCCGGAACCACAATCTGTAGTACATTAAATTAACATAGAAACTAAGACCTCAGAATGTCAACTAGATTTATGATTTTCAATTAGAATTAAAAACATCAAGAAAAATGAAACACCAACCAGATCAGTACCCCAGCAATATTTTAAGTATGCTTTAGCACCATTTGCAGGTATTACTACTGCTTAAATGTACAAACTTGAAATAAAGGTCAGCAATGCAGTGTTTTGAGACTTATGACATAGTTTAATTTAGTATGCTTAGCCCTAAAATGTACCAGATTCATCTGCACTAACATCATCAAAAGAGTTTGTTTTAATTCCACCAACATAAACCATATGAAGGCAAATGTTTGAGGGCACAACCATCAATTATCATGTTTTATTTTATTTTATTCAGGGAGGGTAATTTAAACGCAGCTCTTTTAGCAGGCAATACATGCACCTATCATAGAGCCAAGTGCTTAAGTGCATCTATTATCATATTATTTATAATAAAACTTGTGGAAATCACTTAATTATCTTCATATTAAAGCCAAACCATTCCTGCTTAGTTACCCAAATATCTTTATATTAAAGCTAAACTCCAACTGCTTAGTTTCCTAAATAATTTCCCCTACAAGTCCCCTTTGCAAGATTTCAGTCAATTGCCCTAGTATGGTCAACCAACTCACAAGTATTAAAACCAACTTCATATATAGGCAATTATAGATCCTACTCATGTCGAAGAATCAATCTCCTAGTAATAAAACATATTGAAGACAAAACTAATTTTTGCCTTTCAAAGGATAACAAGTTCCAGAATATTCGCAAGATAAAGCAGCTTCGCTGCTGATGTAATGTGAAAGTAATTTTTCAATCTTAAACACAGAAATTTCTTTCTTTTATTCTGAGTACTCACAACAGTCTCAAATTGGGTCCAGGGGTGCCCAAACCCCCACCCCCCACAAGCACACAACCCTTAAGAGAGAGAGAGAGAGAACTCCCAGCAAGCTTCTTCCCAAATTTAAAAAAGAATATTGCTTAAAGATGGTTTTTTTTTTTTAGCGAAATAGCATGTAGTAAACCCAATTCTCAATTGCATTATGGCATTCCAAATAAGAGCAACACCTATAACGCTGGCATTCTAAATCAAAGCAACACCTGTAACGCATGACATGCTTCTTGCACTACTGAGACTGATTTTGGTGAAGACATCATGCCAAATAATTCAGAAATGCTATTCATGCAAATTTCCATGCCTTTGTCTTCTTATTTATTATTTATTTTCTTTTATGGGGTGGGATATGGGACATAATTTTCATGGTTGTGTTATCAAGTAATCTTGGTTTCCGGTTCAGGCACTAATTGTGGATATTTAACTCAAAATTTCATCCATCACACTATCCTATCTGCTGTCACACTATGTTTTTTGTTTAATTTATAGTAATTAGGTTTTCACCAATGCTACATTCTAATGAAGTAGGATCCATTACCAACTTTGCACTTCCACATTTAATGGCGCATATAACCTAAGGTTGATTCTTAGTGTAAAAAATAATAATATACATAAACCAAACTACCTCAACAGAACATAGATTGGTATATAACTTCATAAAAGCATATAAAGTTGAGCACACAGAGAGAAAGAGAAGTACCAAGAGCAACAAGATGCTGATTTCTTCCACCGCCCTCGAATCTTTCATGCAAAGGTATTGAGAAAAACCTCACTACCTTAATATCTGCCTCATTTACTTGCCCAAATCCACCCAACACTCCATCCACCGATGCCTCCACCACTTCTCTCAGCACAACCAAAGAACCAATAACTATATTATGAGTTCGGTAATGGTACCCACATACAAATGTAAGAACCAGAGTTAAGAAAGACTTACTTCCACGTAGGCAACGCCTTCACGGTACACTGAGTCTTCTTATGGTTATCTCCTTCATCTCCATCTCCAATTTGCTCCCTCCACATTTCCTGTGCGTTCTTATCTCTGCCATCGGATCGAGCCCAGCTGCCTCCATTGCCGTCCTCCGCGCCTTGGGAGTCTTGTAATTCTTCTGTGGCGGCTTGGGCTTGGCGGTGGCTGTCGGATTAGAGTTATGGAACACTGTTGGAGGGTCTGTGGGGAAACAGCTTTGGATATGGGCCACATCCACATTGGTATTTCTTATCCTCCGCGCTTGGTTAGGCAAGCCCTGTTTGGTTTATCCTTTCGGATGAAAAATCGAACCATGGGTTGAACCGGCAAGGATTTCTATTCGCGGTTCGATCGGTCAATGGATTGGGCCTACAACAGGCAAGCCCAATTCCCCTTCCCTAATTACCTTTTTTAATTATTTCTTTTTCCAAACACTACGTCGTTTTTATCTCACTACTTAATGCTACAAAAACCCTAATTTTCCATCATTTTCCTCATCACATTCTTTTTAACCAGCGTTTCTCTCGTCTTTCTTCTCCCGTCCTCACCACTACCGCCTTAGGCCACCGCTGCTGGCACTCTTGTCCGTTTGGGTTGCTTGTTTGTTTAGTTTTCCGAGGAATTTTTTCATTTCAATAAACCAGAAGAACAATGGCCAAGAAGAACAAGGAGAAGAAAGTGAACGTATCGGGTAAACCGAAGCACTCCCTAGACGTGAACCGAAGCGATGGCACAACAAAGATTCTAGAAGCGCCGCCACTGTCCGCCGCCTCAAGATGTACAACACGCGGCCCAAACGTGACAGTAAAGGGAAAATTTTGAGCCATGAGTTTCAGTCTAAAGAATTGCCCAACACCCGTATCCAGCCCGACCGCCGCTGGTTCGGTAAGCTTAAAAAGATCATTTTTTTTAATTTAATTTGGACTCCATTTGATTGCTTCTTTTCTTAATTGTTCTTTTATTTGTTTTCTAGAAGTTGAATGTCAAAAGAAAATTTTTTTTAATAATCAAAACCAAAAATATTGAAAGAGCCTTGGTGAAGTTTTACTTCATTAATTGATTGGCATGAGTTTTGTTTGTTGTCTGCTCTTTAATATTGAATTGAAGTGAGCGACTTAGTGTCAGTATTCCTTTCTTTTCATAGGGAACACCCGAGTTGTGAATCAGAAAGAGCTAGAATTTTTCCGGGAAGAGCTCCAAAGCCGGATGTCAAGCAATTACAATGTCATTTTGAAGGAGAAGAAATTGCCCTTGTCTCTCTTAAAGGACCATTCCAAGGTAATGAATTCTTTGAAAATGAATCTTTCTGAAATTTGGATTTTGGAATTTCCTTTGCCTTTTGAGTTCCGAGCATACTTCTAATTCTATCGTGTTTGTTGATAAAATGTAAATCTATGAAGCAAGCCAGAGCTCATCTTCTGGACACACAGCCTTTTGAGGATGCATTTGGACCTAAGGGGAAGAGGAAGCATCCAAAGCTCCTAGCTGCAGATTACGAGTCTTTAGTGAAGAAAGCAGATGGCTCTCAAGGTAATATTTTATTATTTTTACTTGGGGGTGGGGGGGAGGGGGCTGTGGCTAGGAAGTTAGGGTTACATTTGTCTTAAAGTGCATCTGATTATATTATAAGCGGTTCTTCTCCAGCTTCTCGTGGAACAACAAAAATTGAACCTTATATTTGTGTTTCACATGTTGTTGTATTAACTCTGCAGTTGCCTTTGAGCAGAAGTATGGTGCCTCTACTTCTGCAGAAGCAGGTGAGGCAGATGGATTCCGTGAACTGGTTCGACATACAATGTTTGAGAAGGGTCAAAGTAAACGTATATGGGGTGAACTCTACAAAGTAATAGACTCATCAGATGTTGTTGTCCAGGTCGGTGTCTCTTCATTTGCTTGCCCCCTAATTGAAAAGGAAGCAATAGAAGAAGAAACAAGAAAGTCCATGTCATCCTTTCTTAATATTCTCTTGCATTACAGGTTTTGGATGCTAGGGACCCACAAGGTACAAGATGTCATCACTTAGAGAGGCATTTGAAAGAACATTGCAAGCATAAACACATGATTCTTCTGTTAAACAAGGTTAGTTGCATTTAAATGTTGAAAATTTTTCCAAGACTGTTATTGTTTTTTACTCCCTGATGTTTTCTGCAAAACTGCTTGTAAATACTGAATTTCTATTTTCAGTGTGATCTTGTTCCAGCTTGGGCAACAAAAGGGTGGCTTAGAGTTTTATCCAAGGAATATCCAACTCTAGCATTCCATGCTAGCGTTAACAAGTCTTTCGGCAAGGTACCTCTAATTCATTTCATATTGTTGTTGGATTTAGAATGTCAAATGAAAAAAGTGATTACTTCTTCATCCCTTCTGACTGCTGCCATCCTTTGGTTCCCATATTTACATGTTTATTGAAACTATGCTGTTATTGTAGCATTCACCTTCCCCTCGGACCCCTTCAACTTGTGCCTGGCATTTCTAACATTAGAATATCTTATTTTTTAATCAGGACTTAAAATTCTCTTACCTCCCAACCTCTTACAAATCTAATTATATTGTTTTTGGTTTTGAAAAGACACAATTTGAAAAAAACTTAGTCTACTTTTAAGTTTTTGAAGAGCTATGGATATGCATTCGAAGCATTTTTTTTTTAATTACTGGTATTATTTATTTTTAGACTTTTCTCTTCTGGAATTTCTAACAAAGTTTATTTCCATCAAATGTAGGGTTCTCTTTTATCAGTACTGAGACAATTTGCCCGCTTAAAACGTGACAAGCAAGCGATTTCTGTTGGATTTATTGGGTATCCTAATGTTGGCAAGTCTTCAGTTATAAACACACTCCGCACAAAAAATGTAATGTTTTTGTTCACCTTTTTGCTTCTTTTATTTGATGTACTTGTACTCCATAGTTTTGTAATCCAGTATTTTGGTATTATTAATCTATATTTATGTGTACTTATTAATACGCTTAACTATAGGGTCTTTAATATATTTTTAGAAATGTGCCTGACATCTTATCATCAATGCCCCTTTCTTAACTGTGTACATTAATCAATTTTTTTTGTTTGGTACTTAGAGAACTTTACTCTTGAAGGCATTTTTGTTTTTTATTTTTTGGTATTCTTATAGAAGGATGGTGTAATGTGCATGTAATGTAATTACTATATTCATGTAATTCATTCATATATGTTCAGTACTTTATTTTGCTTTTGAATTTGTTTACTTCTATTTTAAAAGGTTTGCAAGGTTGCTCCGATCCCAGGGGAGACTAAGGTGTGGCAGTATATAACACTCACTAAAAGGATTTTCTTAATTGACTGCCCCGGGGTTGTTTATCAGAACAGTGACACAGAAACGGATATTGTGCTGAAGGGGGTGGTATGTTCTTTATGTTATTTTTTGTCCTCCATCAAGATTCAATGTGTTCTGGTGTGTTACTTATTTACACTGGATTCACTGTGGTTTGTCCCATGTGATATTAATGGTGAAAATGAATTTACTCACTGTTGACCTAAGGCTCAGGTTCATCTAAATGTTTTTATTCTAAGTTTTAATGTTTATTTTATTTGCTCATTGTTATTAATAGATGAGTGAGCCAATGGCATAATCCATTATAATTGTTGGTTTGGCCCACATACCAAAAATCTTGAGACTTATTTTATGTTACAGCCATTAGTCTAATCATAATATTTAATGTTTTTATTACTTGATTTTTTAGTCTAATCATAATATTGAACTCTTGATTTTTCCAGGTACGTGTCACAAACTTAGAGGATGCTGCTGAACATATTGGAGAAGTTTTAAAGCGTGTGAAGAAGGAGCACTTGGAAAGAGCATACAAGATAAAGGACTGGTGAGCTGCTTTGTGGCTATAATCGGCATTTTGTCATCATATTTTGGACTCTAAATTGAATTTTGGAGCATGTTGATGTTTGATTGATTGTAGTTGGCGAATGTGATTTCCAAGTCCTTACCTTTTCAGTTATTAGAGTTGCAGCTTATGATCAGGCTTTATTTATTATACAGAGGAGCATTCATCCGACACATCAATATTCCTTTTTGTCTCTTTAGAAAAGCTTACTTGATGTTATATAGGTGTGAGAAATGATCTTGATATGTATGTATTTTAGTTAGCTGGTTTTTTTACCCTTTTGTGTTTGCAATCATTTACCATTATTGAAGAGCCTTATAACTAATCTATGCAAAGAATTTCATAAATTCTTAAAATTGCTCCTTTTCTTGCTTGTTTCTATTTTATTTTAATGTAGTATTTTAATCACATCTAGCAAAAAGAAATAAAGGATTGTTACTAGTTAACTATGCGCTTTTCCATTCTCTTGTTCTTCCTTTTATATGGGATGCATGATCATGCCTTTTAACTGGAACATGGCCATCCATGTGGCATTTGCATTTGGTGTTGTGCCCATTTACTACTCTTAAATCATATAAGCATATATAATAATGAGAGAGTTGCAATTTATTAACTATATTTATTGTATTGCTGTTTTCAGGGTTGATGAAAATGACTTCTTAGTCCAGCTATGCCAATCAACCGGTAAACTTTTGAAGGTAGGTGTTAACTTTGGTTTCAAGCCTCATTTAGTTTTTAACTGTATTATACAAAGAGAGTCAAAATTTAAGTTATAACATTTAAGCGAGTGTTTTCTTGTACATGGCCTTATGTCTAGGGTGGTGAACCTGATTTGATGACTGGAGCAAAGATGATTCTTCATGACTGGCAGAGAGGTAGAATACCCTTCTTTGTTGCTCCTCCAAGACAAGAAGCCGATGCCTCTTTAGAGGAACCCACCGTGCACGGAATAGACAAGGACACCGTGGCTGATAATAATCAGGCCGATGCTGCTTTTAAAGCCATTGCAAATGTTATGTTGTTCCAGCAGCAAAAAAGTGTACCTGTTAAAACAGATCTCTTCAGTGAGAATGAGCTCGTTGGTGAGGCAGGCAACCAGCTCGCCACGATTGAGATGGCAGGTGAAGTTAGAGCATCCGACGATGGGGTTGGAGGTTCTAGCTCAGATGAACCATAGACTTATTGTTGTAGAAAGAGATGAAAGGCTCTTTCTGTTTTTTTGTAGTTGGGCTTGTTTGTTGTAACTGGGATATTCTTTTTCCTTTTTATTTGAAAGATATTGTCAGAGTTATATTAAATTTTTGTGTTTTAGTTATAATTCAAGAAAGGAAATTTTTAATTGTGGGCAATTGTTTTATGCTCTTTCCATTTGATTTCTCCTAAGATCCTGTACTACTCCTATTTATTCATTTTCTATTATAATCAAATAATTTTTTAAATTTTGATTAAAAATATAAACAAATTCTTAAACATTAAAGAAATTTAATTATTGATACAGCTCATATCACTTGTATTTTTTACCAACTTCGTATGTGAGTTAACAGCTTGATACATCAGTTGTCATTTATCAATATACCGTGCCTGTGATTATGCATGTGATAACTTTTCTGACACTTCCTAACATTAAGCTGCAAAGGTTTAAAAGATCGGTAAACCATGCCTTCATGGCTTGTGTTCCACCAGATAACCGTCCTCAACCAACTCTGGATTTGCTGTGGAATGGATGTCAGAACACAAAGCTAAACCAAGTGCTAGAATTAAAGCCATAGAGGAAGATGTTATTGTTTGAGCTTGTCTCAAGTCTCCAAATGAGTTCTTTTCCACATTTTGTTGCTTTTGCTGTTGAGACTTGAAGAGGGATGAACCCATGCTAACCTTGGACTGCATCGTCTGTGAATCTGTCTTCCTATCATGCATGTTTTTCAATCAATTTTGGCAGAACCACATGAAATCGAATCCAGAAAACGAGTACAACAAACTTATTCTCCCTATGTTTCACTTCAAAAAGGAGACAATCCTTCAATCCCACAGCATCCAAGTAAAGACCTCTTGCAAGGAACTGAAAGCCAACAGATACGTGTTCATCTGGGATACTCCATTAGGTTGTTAGTTGTTAAGAGTAATGTGCTGTAATTTACGGTTTCTAGACAGCAACTTAGCTTACAGCTACAGGTATGAACTCTGTTATATTACTAATATTTGTTGGCGGGGATGAGTTCAAGGCTACTTAATTAGCTGCCTAATCTTCACATCTTTAGTTTGGTAGAAACTTTCAAACGTTGCTGATGTAAAAGACATAAATGAGCAGCCCCTTGCCGCTTACCTCCTTTGTTAGCTACCAGATTTTGGCTTCTGGATTTTATTGTGGAGGGTTGCTACAGATTGCAATACTGAGTTTTGAGTGCTAAAGAAAAAGGTTGAGGCTGCTGATTTTTGGATTACGTAGGTTGTTGTTTTTGGAGTTACGGTCTCGAGGGAAAAATGGTATAAGTTGGCCGTGGAGGGGAGAGGTTTGCTACGCCATTTTCATGCTTTGGGGACCGAGAGGTTTGTGTTTCCCAATGGGATTGATCAAAGTCAGATCAATCTATGACAGAAAACATGTGTCATGTCATGCAAGTACTTTTACAAATATCAGCACCAACACCTGATCCTTATGGCGCACAAAACGGAGCATCAAGCCTTGAATCTTGTTGAGTCTTAACTCCGGGAACAGGAGAATCATGCCTTGAAAATTAGGAAAAATTAATTGACCTTGGCTTGATCAATCTCATTGGGAAACACAAACCTCTCGTTCCCCAAAGCATGAAAATGACGTAGCTCTTCCCCCTTCTCTATTTAAATCCATCAACCCCAAGCCAATTTCCATCAACTCAAGTGCTTTCAACATCATTAACTGAGCAAAGTTCACATAAAACCAATCATGAAGAATCTATTCTTTTCCATGCTTCTTCTACTCTCATTCCTCTTCTTCCTTGCCAACCATGGGGAGGCTGCTGTTCCATGTAATACCGTGGATGCCAAGGCAGCTGCATGCGTTGGCTTTGCAACTGGCAAGGCTACAAAGCCCTCCGCTGAATGCTGCACTGGGCTGCATCAGCTTGCTCAAACTGTGAAATCCGTTGATGATAAGAAGGCCATCTGCAGATGCTTGAAGGCTGCCGCCAAGTCACTGGGAATTCAGGACAAGTTCTTGAGCAAGATTCCTCAAGCTTGCAACATCAACGTTGGTTTCCCCGTCTCCATCAACACCAATTGCGAGACGTGAGTAGGAATTCTAGTTTTCAATTTGACATTTCTCCATCATCATAGAGTAAACATAATATTTCTGATTAACCATTTTTGTCATTTTGATTTTCAACCATGCAGGATTCACTAAGCTCTGATGGATCAGTCGAGACAATGATCGTTGAAGAACACCCTTAGGCTGTTCGTAGCTAGTTAGAAGTTGACTATTGGCTCAAATAAAACGGTTAAAATTGTTAAGACAAAGGTACTGTTGGTCTTTACAGACCCAGACTTTGGCTTAACCATGTATTCACAAGTTGGTTACTTGGTTTTAGTGGAATCAGAATCAGTTCACTTCTTGCATTTTGCCATACCCCAATTCATCTTCATTTCTTGCACTTTGCAAAGCTGCTCTTGTTTACTAGTAAAGACATTTACTTTCGTTAACGAAAAATCCAATCACTAAACCAGTAGTCTTGTTACAATTTCAGTGCACATGACAAAGAGGCGAAAATGTCAATAAAAAAAAATAAGCAACAAGAGCAATGATCAAAGTCTATCGATATCATCAAATTAATGAATGAAACTTCAATAAAATCATACAGGTTCAAAATACAACAAACCAATATGACGATGAAACAGTCATTAATACCAAATTTGATCTCTTCATGTTGTGTATCAAGATGGAAATTTGTAAATCACCAAGGAATTTCCTGTCCATCCCATGCAAAGAACTTGCCATTGTCCTGATGTTTTGTGTTGTTAATGATGTTCAAAAGCTTTTGCACTGAGAACTCTTTGGTGAAAAGCTTGTCAGCAGGAACATTTCTCTGGAATGGCCTAGACAGATCTGTATCCACTGTGCCTGGGTGCAAAAGAATGCATGCAATTGGGTCTTTCTTCCTTGCAAACTCAACTGAAATAGTTTTCGTCACTGCATGCATCAAGATAAACAGCATTATCTGGCACACGAATTCAACAAAACTAATTTGTCCATTCAGATTATTATCGAATCTGACTCAAGGCTTTGTTAATTATCTTCTTTCTTTTAATTAAAAATAATTCTTTGGATCTTTGCTGCTCTTTCCATCACAAGCTTTACAGAAAGGGGAAAGAAACCCCAAAAATTTCATCCTACAGAGACATGAGAGGGAAGAATACATACATTGATTAAGTGCAGCCTTTGAAGAACGATAGGAATGCCAGCCCCCTAGTCGATTGTCTCCAATGGAGCCAACTCTGGCACTTAAGTTGGCAACTACAGCAACATCCCTTTCAGTGCCAGAACCTCCTCCAGCTTTGAGCAGAGGCCACATATGCTGTCAGCAATATCACACAGGAATGTCTATTATATTGTGAATGAACTCCCATTGAGACCAAAGGACAATGAAGAATTCAAACACAACAACCAAAAGAAAGATTCCAATGATTTATTGATTGCAACACATTGCATTCGAAAACACTTTTGTAAGGAGCCACTTGCGTAAAAGGAAATCATCTAAGTTATATTTACAGGGAAGGTGATGCACATGACTCTCTTCATGCTAGCAGCTAACAGTCAATCCACCATGAAATCATGATCAGCTACTATCCCCATTTTTGCTCAAATATGAGCAATTTCACCCCGGCTCACCAAACTTAACGTTAAAATCATTTAAATAACTGAACTTTAATGTATAACTTTACACATGCTTAAATTTTCAATCTGGATCAAGTGATCATTCAGCTAGCATCTGTAAAAGATTTTGATACAAATGAGAAAACTGGTGTCACCACAAACTGCTTTGTGGACCAAAAAATTCCCATACAACAAGCAAACATACCATTTTTTTTTTCCTGTAGCCAGTTCTTGTCTCCCTCCTGTGCTCCTTTTATATATCTAAAGCCCACCCTTCCTTCTCGCTATATACTTTGATTCTCCTAACTTCAGCTTCCCTTTCTATCTCTAAAACTCATGCATATTCTCTCTGTAAAGAAAAAAAAAATACAGAATCTTAATAGATTAAAACTTGAAACCTTAAACCACACCATTTTCTTCTCCACTAAAGCCAAAAAAAAAAAAAAGAAAGGAACATAATCAATCCACCTTAAATCCTTTAATCCGCATAACAAAGAAGCCAATTAGTACAAATCTAGCACAAGCTGGATTGGAGGGAGAGAGAGACCTGGGAAATTAAGAACACTGGCAATAGTGATGCCAAAAGAAAGGTTTAATAGAGGGTTGGGTTGTTTTTATTAGTTTCTTCCATAGAAAGGGGCAGCAACAACCAACCACTGAAAACAAGCAGAAGATGAAACTAAATAGTAAATAAATTACCTTCCTGAATCTCTAGCAAAACAATACAGTGGAGTAAAGAACAGAGAATAGAAAAACAAAAGAAAAATAACCATAAAGTAAACATTCTTATATCCTAGAGGAAGGACCAGGTACACCATCATTAACTGAAAATTCACCAAGGAAGATGAGAGTGATGACACCCAATACTTATGGCATGCTTCTCTATCAGACAGGTATTGCCCAATTCCCAAGAGCATTGACCTTTCTATGGATCAAACCAAGCTGGAAAAAAAAATGAAATTTTGAATACTGGCTTTCATATATGAGAGTTTTGAGAAGAAAGAAACTAGAGAAACGAAAAAAAGAAATAAGAGAAGAGACTCCCTTTTTAGTTTTTGGTTGACGTTATAGTGAGGACCATTAATCCTACAAGAAGAGACTCTCCTTTTAGTTTTTGGTTGATTTTCTGTCTAGTTTTTCTCAATGAACACTGAAAACAAAGGCAACATTTAACACATGTTGCAAAGTTTCATAAATCAATTGTTACAAACTGATGCTAGTGCTGAAAGGAAATTTAGTGATTAGTTTACTGACCGCAGGTAAATTTTACCCCTCAAAAAAAGTTTAAAAAATGGAAACCATGGCAATTCTGCCTAATAAAAAATCCAGCATTTTTAACATTATCAACAAAGAATGTTAACAAAAAGTTAGTTTGACAGCATATAGATTCCTTCTTTTATCCAAAAGAAGTGAACTGGAGTTCTTCCAGAACATTCAGGGTCAATTGTGAGTTGAAAGTTTAAAGTGAATCTTTTATATAAAAAAATAAAAGAAAATTAAAGCAAAGCCAGAATACCTTGATCACTAAAATAGGACCAACAGCATTAACCTCATAAGCAAGCATCAAAGATGACTTGTATAATTTGCTCAATGTTGTTTCTGCACTGAAAGCAAGGGAGTTTATTCACCTGCCTAGGCAGCTTATTGAAAAACGAGAGGAAAAAAGTAAGAGGGAAAAGAGTGTAGGGGAAGAATTTCATTTCCCTTTCAGTACAGATGCAAGATATTTATGCTGTTAAAGCCTTGAAAACTTTCTTAAAGATAACATAAAGTTCATACCTGGTTGCAATACATTGGGTATTGAAAGAATGCCCGATGCATTAATGAGAAGGTTGAGAGAGCCATATCTTTCTGTTATGGACTTTGCTGACTCCTGAAGTATGATGTGTCAAAGGTCGGTCTTATTTTGATATATATATATATATATATATAAAAGACCAAGGAATAGAGTGAAAGAAACAGAATCAGATAATTAACCTCTATAGTACTTTCAACAGTCAGATCCAATGGTAAAATATTAAGGCGTTCAGCAAACTGATTTTTTAATTCAAGAAGCCCTGTTGCGCCATTAGGATTACGGCAAGTGGCAATAACATGCCCTTTTTCATTCTTTTCCAGCAGTTGTTTAACCTGCATTGAGAAGTGCACAAGTCAAAATCATAGTGCAGGATCATTATATTAAAATAGCATGGAAATTAATTAGACAAAAAGGAATGAACAAGAACTTTCCAATCTCTTAATAGCCAATTATTCTGCTGTAGCTGGAGTAAAATTACCAAGCAAAACTCTTATGATCTCTTAACAGCATATTACTATTCTACTGTGGCCACAAGTATAAGCCTTGAACTGTTCATTACATAGCATTCAAGAAAAAGGGTGTCCGCTCGCAATATTGAACAAGAACGTGACATAGCAGAATGAGATACTAGGAACATGGATAGACTGACATCAAAATTGTTTTAACAGTTAACACCAAGATGCAGATCGATACGCTCTGTAAGACAGTGCAGAACTGATACAAACAGCAGTTTTAGCCTCTTACATCAATCCAAAGGGTTTGAGAAGAGAAAATCACAACGGAATTATTTAGAAACAAAAAAAAAAACCACTAATACGAACAACAGAAAACCATTCTAGAGTAGAATTGTCCATGTAAGGAGAAAGTTATTCAGCTAGCGCCCATAAGAGAATAAAGTAGAGATTATTCAGCAGCACTCGAAATTCACAAATGCTCATGAAAGTGGAAATTGGTTCCTCTGAAGTAGACAGAAACGCATCAGGTTCTGTAGGACATACATAGCACTCAGAAGGCTAAACAAGCATAATCTTACCTAAAGTTTCAATGAGTTCCAATTCAAATAAAAACCATCAAAAGAAATCCAACCCTTTTTATAACTAAGTGAAACATTACACCTTTTGGGGTGAATCTAGTTGAATACAAAAATAAAATTTGGAGCTTGCAATTGTATTCTTACCAAAAACCCAAGCTATTTTCGTTTTAAACGGTAAATGAGAGAGAATAAATGTTCAAGAATTGGACAAGCTAGAGAGAGCAGCAGGAAGCAATGCACAAAAGATAAAGAAAAAGAAGTGAAAGGTGATGAGGAGGGCTCACAAATTCAAGGCCAATTCCTCGAGAAGCTCCCTGAACCATGGAAACCACGCCTTCCCATTTCAGAGCAGAAGCGGAAGATGCAAATGATCTCAGTCTCAGTCTCATGGGATTCGGCATCAATGCTCGGTGGGTGTCAAGGAAAACCCTCATCATTTCTCGTGTTTCTTCAACAAACTAAACTGTCTCTCAAACAAGCAACAAGCATGGTGATAGAATGAATCCAGAAGATTTCTTCTGCTTGCTGAACAGTGGATGCTGCACCCTCCACGTCGAAGCCGTATTAATGGTTGCCTTTTGAATCAACCACCAGGCTACAGAGCTGCGCTAGCTAAAGCCTAAAGGACCCAACACCAGCCCCTCACTTTCACTGGACCTTTACAAAAAGGCCTAATAGTAGGCCAGCTATGCACCCATGCAGGCCCTTAAGAAAGCCTAGAGGTCGAATTTTTTTTTTTATAGGTATAAACCGGTTTAGAATACTGATTACTTGATATAATCCGGACAAAAACATAATTGAATTCGAGTATCGAGTATCAAAGAATCATATCCGTGCTTGACCCAAATTTAAGATGAACAGCAGACTCCTTACTCGAACTCGTTTCAAACTCAAA